CCCCAAAACCCCAAAACCCCAAAACCCCATGCCTCAAATTTAAGTAATTGTGCCAGGATTAATAGAAATTCATATTAAAATAGTTTAATCAATGGAAGAAGAAAATAAATAACAGAAGAGTTAAGGAAGTCCGAAATCAGTTATATCTGGAATTGATCAGAAGTTTAGTCTAGGATCTAAAATTTTAACTTTCAATGACAACTAGAAATAATAATAGCCGACTGTTGAGATAAAAAATAAGCTCTATTCAAGCTCTACAGTCAAAAACATCAATGGAAGTCAATTAAGGGCATATTCCATGGCTAAAACCAACATATAGTTTTAAATGCCAGTGATAAGAAAGAAAATGAGAGAAAATGTGACGGGATCTGCCTCAAAACAGTTTAACTCAACTGGTTCAGGTTTAAGTCTTTAGCATTTAAATTCTTAGCAGTATAACACTAATTTGGATAGCAACACTTTAAGAAATCATAATATTATCTAAAAGATAAAAAGTTCGGGGTCTCTTGAAGGTTCCGGTGAAGGTACCAAGTCACCAGGTTCAATAGAAAAGAGAAGAAATATGAATAGTTCTCCAGCTGATTCATTCTTGAAAGTTTCATAAACCTCTAGAATAGATCCTGAAAGTGGAAAATTAATTTTTGACAAAGGAAGTGGATTCTTGTAACTTACTAGAATCTCATGATTGAATAAAAAGGACTCTCTTATTGAGAGTATTATTAACAACAAATTACGAAGGTTAGAAAGTGGAGGTGCGGATAAGGGAAGTTTAGGTCAAGAGATTTAAGTTTAGCCCAGAGAATAGATGTGCAAGACTGCTAGAACTTAGTTTTAAATAGAGAAAAATATTATTGACTAAACACTGAAAAAGGTAAAACCATTTGATTTCAATGGGAATATAGCTGAGAAAATAGGATCTTAAAAGCCACTAATAGCTATTTAGCAAAAGAATAATGAATTGTTGTAATAAAAATACTAGATGCTTAAGCCTTAAACTCTAAAACCAGAAGCCTTCAACATTGAGGATTCAGGAAAGAAAAGCATGAAGGCTGAGAAAGTTTATTTTGAAATTGATAGCTCTCCTGAATAGAGTATTGCAAAACCAACAAAGGAACAATCGATGTAAAATTCAGACTAGAGTCCCTTATTAATCCTGAAAGACTAGCTTAAGATTAAGTAAATGTAATCTGATATGAATTTAGCTCATCAGTAAATGGAATCCTATAATGCTTTTAATCGAGCGATGAGGTAGTAAACCTCTAGGATGCCTAAATCTACTTCTAGAAGAAGACTAGAGGATCGACTAAATTTAATGAGAATTAAGAGTTCTAATGATGACTAAAAGCAAAATAATAATTCTTAATTTGGACACAGTAGCATGATTCTTGATCATTAGACAAATCAAATAATAAACGAAAAAGACTACTAAATGTATATGAATGAACTATCTGTACTAGATACTAAAAATAGTAAACAGCAAATTTAAAAGATCGAGGGTATTAGTGAAAAGTTTAAACTAGTTATAAAAATACTCAGAAAACTTTCTATTTCAATATCTGGCTTGAGGCCATTATTAGAAATTGTTCTTAAATTTGTATAAAGAGCGTGTCTCGTGCCCTTTGATGATGTTCCATCAGTAATATACTAGTAATTAACAGGAAAAGACAAACAGTATGCTGAAGATAATACGAAAAGTAAGAATTTTATTTCACATTATTTTTAAAATAGATTTTGCTTATTTGGATCTTTACAATGCATCTCTAGACTATTTAAGGAATTATGTTTAAGACTAAAACGATTCCAAGCAAAACTTAGACCATTAAATCAATATATTGAATTAAGAAATAAAGATCAGAGATGACATGATATCGAGGATGGAAGTCGATATATAAAGTCTAAAAGAAATAAACAGTTCCTCTGTCTATTAATAATATGTTTCCCTTGCAGAAAATGTAATTGAAACTTCAATGCTCTGATAATTTCTTATAGAATTCTAATTTGATTAAAGAGAAGAATTAGCTTCTATTCAAAGTGGAGGAGTTAAAAGGAGAAATTCAATAATTTTCTGTTAAATATGAAAGATCCTATGATGAGCTATTGAAGAGTCAGAAGCTACTTATATATACTCAGAATGAAAAGGATAGATAAGACGTAAAACTAGCTCATTATAAAAATAAAATTAATGGACTTAAGGATAAAATGCAAAGAGAATGCATTGACAATAAGAATTTCATTACAATTGTTGATAAGTACAAGGCTATTATAAAAAGTCTAGAAAAGTAGGTGAAAGATGAAAACTAGTAAAAGCTAATGATTTTGAGAAACAGCTAGCACCCTTAGATTGAGGAATTGACTCCGAGGTACAGGAAATTTGAGTAGGCTTTTGAATAGTTTGGATTAGAAAAGTAGTATGAATATGTGAAAGATGCAAGTAGCAATTAAAAAATTGAAAAATTGCTAAAATTCAGTCATGATTATCTGAGAGTACTTGAAAAAGATAAGTAAAACTTGTAAAACAAAATTAAGGTCATGATGAAATGAGAGATTAAAAATTAAATTACATCTTCATTATATTTAATCCTGAAATGCCTCTATTATTTCCTATTGAGGGGTTTTGGGGTTTTGGGGTTTTGGGG